GGAAGTCTCTACAATGGCATACAGATGTCGAAAAATGAACTGAGTGAGGGTATAACCCTCCCTTACTCTATCCAAAAATGAAAAAAAGTTTTGCCCATATTTTTACTTTATTGTTCAACTTCTAAATTCATCTTTCATCTGTTGTGTACCATTTGTAGATGTCCTTCAACCGCATCATCTAATAAATACCTGGATGTGTTAGATCTGTGCTCTTACTGATGACACAACCAGTGACAATATAAATCTAACTCTTCTAGGTATTTATTACTGATCATAGTACTCCCCTCTGACAACACCTTCATCTGCTTTGAATAGATGTAACCATCTTTGTTCAGTTATCATATACACTCACCGGCCACTTTATTAGGTACACCTGTTCAATTGGTTGGTAATACAAATTGCTAATCAGCCAATCATATGGCAGCAGCTCAATGCATTTAGGCATCTAAATGTAGTGAAGCTGACTTGCTGAAGTTCAAATCAAGCATCAGAATGGGGAAGAAAGGGGATTTAAGTGATTTTGAACGTGGCATGGTTGTTGGTGCCAGACGGGCTGGTCTCAGTATTTCAAAAACTGCTGATCTACTGGAATTTTCATGCACATCCATCTCTAGGTTTACAGAGAATGGTCCAAAAAAGATAAAATATCCTGTGAGTAGCGGTTGTGTGGACAAAAATGCCTTGTTGATGTCAGAGGTCAGAGGAGAATGGGCAGATTGGTTGGAGATGATAGAAAGGCAACAGTAACTCATGTCAATATGGACCAAAATCTCTGAGGAATGTTTCCAACAACTTGTTGAATCTATGCCCCGGCCCTGAAGAATTAAGGCAGTTCTGAAGGAAAAAGGGGGTCCAACCCGGTACTAGCAAGGTGTACGTAATAAAGTGGCCAGTGAGTGTTTAGTCCCCATCTATTTCCTGTTCTGAAATGTTGGTTGTGAGTCTAGCAGAACGGAGGGTACCTGAGCACTGTCATTGTGCAGAGGTATTCTGCTGCATCTAAAGGAGAATTATATCCTATCGCTACTTTGATCACTTTCTTTTGCTGGCACTGACAGATGCTGAGAATAAGCCAAGTTGTTATCAGAACACAATAGCAGTCTTGGCCAGGAGCGGACTGACAACTCATGGGGCCCCCAGGCAATAGGGGATAATGGGGCCCCTGTGTCCTTGCCCAAACTCAAAAAAGCCTATGAAAAAGGTACCAGGGTCATCTCATGGGGCCCCCTACTGACCCTGGGCCTTCGGGCAGTGCCCGAGTTTCCAAATGGTCAGTCCGCCCCTGGTCTTGGCATACCTGGCACTCTGGATGATGGTGACTACAGAGGGCAAGATGGTGTAACTCTATACAGACATCTTTGGTTACGTACAATATCCGCAAGGGGGTCCCCTGAGGAAGCTGGAAGGTGAAACCTGTGTTGATATGAGGGAGGGGGTCTTTTGGTATGAAGGCAGGGGCGGACTGACCATTGGGAAACTTGGGCCCTGCCCGAGGGCCCGGGGTCAGTAGGGGGCCCCATGAGATGCCCCTGGTACCTTTTTCATAGGCTTTTTTGAGTTTGGGCAAGGACACAGGGCCCCCATGATCCCCTATTGCCCGGGGGCCCCATGAGTTGTCAGTCCGCCCCTGTATAAAGGGATGACTGCCGATGTGATGGGCTCTTCTGGTATGATATGAGGAATTCTGATGTAATAGGGGGTATCTGATGTGAAGGGATGACTTCTGATGTGATATGGGGGGGGGAGCACTTCTAATGTGAATGGGTGACTTCTGATGTGATATGGGGGGACTTATGTGAAGGATGACTTTTGATGTGATATGGGGAGGGGGTGTCTGATGTACAGGGGTGACTTCTGATGTGATGGGCTCTTCTGGTATGATATGAGTACTTCTGATGTGATGGGGTGACTCCTGTTATGATGAGGGGCTTCTGATGTGAATTGGGGAGGGGGGGGGCTTCTCATGTGAAGGGATGCCAAGTTCTGATGTAATGGGGTCTTCTGATATGAAAAGAGGACTTCTGATATGATGGGATCTTCTGACATGAAGGGATGACTTCTGGTGTGATGGAATGACTTATAATGTGGAGGGATAACTCCTGATGTGATATGGGGTGGGGTGGGGGTGGTGGTGTCTGATGTGAAAGGATGACTTCTGATGAGAAATGGATGGGATCTATTGTGAAGGGATGATCTCTGATGTGCAGGGGTGACTACTAATGTGATATGGGGGGGTCTGATGTGAAGGGGTAACTTCTGATGTGATATGGGGGGGGGGTCTGATGTGAAGGGGTGACTACTGATGTGATATGGGGGGGGGGGGGGGGGGGGGGTCTGATGTGAAGGGGTGACTTCTGATGTGATATGGGGGGGGGGGGGTCGGATGTGAAGGGATGACTTCTGATGTGCTATGGGGGGTGGAGTCTGACATGCAGGGATGGCTTCTGATGCGATGGGCTCCTCTAGTATGATATGAGGACCTCGGGCTGACGTGATGGGCTCCTCTAGTATGATATGAGGACCTCGGTCTGATGCGATGGGCTCCTCTAGTATGATATTGGGACCTCGGGCTGACGCGATGGGCTCCTCTAGTATGATATGAGGACCTCGGTCTGACGCGATGGGCTCCTCTAGTATGATGTGAGGACCTTGGTCTGACAGGATGGGCTCCTCTAGTATGATATGAGGACCTCGGTCTGATGCGATGGGCTCCTCTAGTATGATATGGGGACCTCGGTCTGATGCGATGGGCTCCTCTAGTATGATATGGGGACCTCGGTCTGATATGATGGGCTCCTCTAGTATGATATGAGGACCTCGGTCTGATGCGATGGGCTCCTCTAGTATGATATGGGGACCTCGGTCTGATATGATGGGCTCCTCTAGTATGATATGAGGACCTCGGCCTGATATGATGGGCTCCTCTAGTATGATATGAGGACCTCGGTCTGATATGATGGTCTCCTCTAGTATGATATGAGGACCTCGGTCTGATATGATGGGCTCCTCTAGTTTGACGTGAGGACCTCGGTCTGATGCGATGGGCTCCCCTAGTATGATATGAGGACTTCAGTCTGATGCGATGGGCTCCTCTAGTATGATATGAGGACTTCGATCTGATGCGATGGGCTCCTCTAGTATGATATAAGGACTTTGATCTGATGCAATGGCCTCCTCTAGTATGATATGAGGACCTCGGTCTGATATGATGGGCTCCTCTAGTTTGATATGAGGACTTCGATCTGATGCGATGGGCTCCTCTAGTATGATATGAGGACCTCGGTCTGATGCGATGGGCTCCTCTAGTATGATATTGGGACCTCGGGCTGACGCGATGGGCTCCTCTAGTATGATATGAGGACCTCGGTCTGACGCGATGGGCTCCTCTAGTATGATGTGAGGACCTTGGTCTGATATGATGGGCTCCTCTAGTATGATATGAGGACCTCGGTCTGATGCGATGGGCTCCTCTAGTATGATATGGGGACCTCGGTCTGATGCGATGGGCTCCTCTAGTATGATATGGGGACCTCGGTCTGATATGATGGGCTCCTCTAGTATGATATGAGGACCTCGGTCTGATGCGATGGGCTCCTCTAGTATGATATGGGGACCTCGGTCTGATATGATGGGCTCCTCTAGTATGATATGAGGACCTCGGTCTGATATGATGGGCTCCTCTAGTATGATATGAGGACCTCGGTCTGATATGATGATGGTCTCTCTAGTATGATATGAGGACCTCGGTCTGATATGATGGGCTCCTCTAGTTTGACGTGAGGACCTCGGTCTGATGCGATGGGCTCCCCTAGTATGATATGAGGACTTCAGTCTGATGCGATGGGCTCCTCTAGTATGATATGAGGACTTCGATCTGATGCGATGGGCTCCTCTAGTATGATATAAGGACTTTGATCTGATGCAATGGCCTCGTCTGATATGATGGGCTCCTCTAGTTTGATATGAGGACTTCGATCTGATGCGATGGGCTCCTCTAGTATGATATAAGGGACTTTGATCTGATGCAATGGCCTCCTCTAGTATGATATGAGGACCTCGGTCTGATATGATGGGCTCCTCTAGTTTGATGTGAGGACCTCGGTCTAATGCGATTGGCTCCTCTAGTATGATATGAGGACTTCAATCTGATGCGATGGGCTCCTCTAGTATGATGTGAGGACTTCGGTCTGACAGGATGGGCTCCTCTAGTATGATGTGAGGACCTCGGTCTGATGCGATGGGCTCCTCTAGTATGATATGAGGACTTCGATCTGATGCGATGGGCTCCTCTAGTTTGATATGAGGACTTCGATCTGATGCGATGGGCTCCTCTAGTATGATGTGAGGACCTCGGTCTGATAGGATGGGCTCCTCTAGTATGATGTGAGGACCTCGGTCTGATATGATGGGCTCCTCTAGTATGATGTGAGGACTTCGGTCTGATATGATGGGCTCCTCTAGTATGATGTGAGGACTTCGGTCTGATATGATGGGCTACTCTAGTATGATGTGAGGACCTCGGTCTGATATGATGGGCTACTCTAGTATGATATGAGGACTTCGGTCTGATGCGATGGGCTCCTCTAGTATGATATGAGGACTTCGGTCTGATATGATGGGCTCCTCTAGTATGATATGAGGACTTCGGTCTGATATGATGGGCTCCTCTAGTATGATATGAAGACTTCGGTCTGATACGATGGGCTCCTCTAGTATGATAGGACTTCGGTCTGATGTGATGGAGGACTTTTGATGTGCAGCATGTTTATTAATTTAAATTTAATTTCCGCAGGAGAGAAAATGCAAAAACATCACCATTATATTTTTTTCATTCCCTTCACACATCAGAGCAGCGAGGGGTGTAATATGGAAAACCGGATTCACTCATTACACGAGAGCTGTTGTGTCTTCTGTCTGCTTGGAAGACTACGACTCCCAGAATCCCCCTGGCCTTGGCTCCTATTGATGATGTCAGAGTTGTGTTGCCTCCAGGAGAAGGCATGGCTGCTGCAAAACTGCTGTCCCTGAATGGGATCTTCTGTGTCTACAAACCTAAAGGGACAACTTCTGCCCACAACCTGAATGAGCTGAAGCAGAAGCTGCTGAAAGGTAGGGGGGAGGGGATGATTATCTGTATGAATCTCCTCTTTATAGGATGTGTATTTATTATGTACCTTCCTGAAGGTCCCCCTATATGTTGTGACAACAGGAAAGTGCACAGTGCATGTGTCAGTACATTGCCATTCATTTCTAGTGATAGCCCAACACACTGAGATAATGCATGAGAACACATGGTAATGTAGCTCCCTGCACTGCATGGGACACAAGAGGTGCAGGTGGGGGCTATTTTGGCCATTTTGCTGCAATGAGAGCCAATCCAGAGACCTTAATGTGCATTATAACCCACCAGAATGGAAAAGTGTCAGAGGGCCCAAGAGGTTTCCCATAGTGTGCCTATGCTTTATACCACTAATGACTCTTCTTTCTCTCAGGGACTCTATTGGGGAGAACCCTGCGCCGAGTTCCCAGGACTGCACACCTGCTGTGCCCATTATGAGGGGTTCCCACCATCTCTGCACTGACTTCCTGGGTCTCCTCACCTGCTGTGCCCTTTATGAGGGGTTCCTTACACCCCTGCACTGAGTTCCTGGGTCTGCACACTTTCTGTGTCCTTTATGAGGGGTTCCCACCATCTCTGCACTAAGTACCCAGGTCTGTACACCTGCTGTGCCCATTATGAGGGGGTTTCTGGGTCTGTACACCTGCTGTGCCCATTATGAGGGGGTTTCTGGGTCTGTACACCTGCTGTGCCCATTATGAGGGGGTTTCTGGGTCTGTACACCTGCTGTGCCCATTATGAGGGGGTTTCTGGGTCTGTACACCTGCTGTGCCCATTATGAGGGGGTTTCTGGATCTGTACACCTGCTGTGCCCATTATGAGGGGGTTTCTGGGTCTGTACACCTGCTGTGCCCATTATGAGGGGGTTTCTGGGTCTGTACACCTGCTGTGCCCATTATGAGGGGGTTTCTGGGTCTGCACATCTGCTGTGCCCATTATGAAGAGTTCCCTGCACTGAGTTATTATTATTTATTATACAGTATTTATAAAGCGCCAATAGTTCGCTCAGCGCTGTACATTACAAAGGGGGACAGAACATGTGACAGAACAATACCTATACAATGCAAAACATGAGGGGATTGAGGGCCCTGCTCTTCGAGCTTACAATCTAGTTCCCGGGTCTGCACACCTGCTGTGCCCATTATGAGGGGTTCCCAGGTCTGCACACCTGCTGTGCCCATTATGGGTTCCCAGGTCTGCACACCTGCTGTGCCCACTATGAGGGGTTCCCGGGTCTGCACACCTGCTGTGCCCATTATGAGGGGTTCCCGGGTCTCTGCACACCTGCTGTGTGCCCATTATGAGGGGTTTCTTACACCCCTGCACTGAGTTCCTGGGTCTGCACACCTCCTGTGTCCCTGTATGAGAGGTTCCCACCATCTCTGCACTAAGTACCCAGGTCTGTACACCTGCTGTACCCATTATGAGGTGTTCCCGGGTCTGCACACCTGCTGTGCCCATTATGAGGGGGTTTCTGGGTCTGTACATCTGCTCTGCCCATTATGAGGAGTTCCCACCATCCCTGCACTGAGTTCCCGTGTCCGCACACCTGCTGTGCCCATTATGAGGGGTTCCCGGGTCTGCACATCTGCTGTGCCTTTTATGAGGGGTTCCCACCATCTCTGCACAGGGTCCCCAGGTCTGCCCACCTGCTGTGCCCATTTTGAGGGGTTCCCTACACCGCTGCACTGAGTTCTTGGGTCTGCACACCTGCTGTGCCCTTTTATCAGGGGTTCCCACCATCTCTGCACTGAGTTCCTGGGTCTGCACATCTGCTGTGCCATTTATGAGGGGTTCACACCATCTCTGCACTGAGTTCTTGGATCTGTACACCTGCTGTGCCCATTATGAGGGGTTCCCGGGTCTGTACACCTGCTGTGCCCATTATGAGGGGTTCCCGGGTCTGCACACCTGCTGTGCCCATTATGAGGGGTTCCCAGGTCTGCACACCTGCTGTGCCCATTATGAGGGGTTCCCCCAGGGTCTGCACACCTGCTGTGCCCATTATGAGGGGTTCCCAGGTCTGCATACCTGCTGTGCCCATTATGAGGGGTTCCCGGGTCTGCACACCTGCTGTGAACCTGAGGGGTTCCCAGGTCTGCACACCTGCTGTGCCCATTATGAGGGGTTCCCGGGTCTGCACACCTGCTGTGCCCATTATGAGGGGTTCCCAGGTCTGCATACCTGCTGTGCCCATTATGAGGGGTTCCCGGGTCTGCACACCTGCTGTGCCCATTATGAGGGGTTCCCAGGTCTGCACACCTGCTGTGCCCATTATGAGGGGTTCCCGGGTCTGCATACCTGCTGTGCCCATTATGAGGGGGTTCCCGGGTCTGCACACCTGCTGTGCCCATTATGAGGGGTTCCCGGGTCTGCACACCTGCTGTGCCCATTATGAGGGGTTCCCGGGTCTGCACACCTGCTGTGCCCATTATGAGGGGTTCCCAGGTCTGCACACCTGCTGTGCCCATTATGAGGGGTTCCCAGGTCTGCACACCTGCTGTGCCCATTATGAGGGGTTCCCAGGTCTGCATACCTGCTGTGCCCATTATGAGGGGTTCCCGGGTCTGCACACCTGCTGTGCCCATTATGAGGGGTTCCCGGGTCTGCATACCTGCTGTGCCCATTATGAGGGGTTCCCGGGTCTGCACACCTGTTGTGCCCATTATGAGGGGTTCCCGGGTCTGCACACCTGCTGTGCCCATTATGAGGGGTTCCCGGGTCTGCACACCTGCTGTGCCCATTATGAGGGGGTTTCTGGGTCTGTACATCTGCTCTGCCCATTATGAGGAGTTCCCACCATCCCTGCACTGAGTTCCCGTGTCCGCACACCTGCTGTGCCCATTATGAGGGGTTCCCGGGTCTGCACATCTGCTGTGCCTTTTATGAGGGGTTCCCACCATCTCTGCACAGGGTCCCCGGGTCTGCCCACCTGCTGTGCCCATTTTGAGGGGTTCCCTACACCGCTGCACTGAGTTCTTGGGTCTGCACACCTGCTGTGCCCTTTTATCAGGGGTTCCCACCATCTCTGCACTGAGTTCCTGGGTCTGCACATCTGCTGTGCCCTTTTATCAGGGGTTCACACCATCTCTGCACTGAGTTCTTGGATCTGTACACCTGCTGTGCCCATTATGAGGGGTTCCCGGGTCTGTACACCTGCTGTGCCCATTATGAGGGGTTCCCGGGTCTGCACACCTGCTGTGCCCATTATGAGGGGGTTCCCGGGTCTGCACACCTGCTGTGCCCATTATGAGGGGTTCCCGGGTCTGCACACCTGCTGTGCCCATTATGAGGGGTTCCCGGGTCTGCACACCAGCTGTGCCCATTTTGAGGGGTTCCCGGGTCTGCACACCTGCTGTGCCCATTATGAGGGGTTCCCGGGTCTGCACACCTGCTGTGCCCATTATGAGGGGTTCCCGGGTCTGCACACCTGCTGTGCCCATTATGAGGGGTTCCCGGGTCTGCACACCTGCTGTGCCCATTATGAGGGGTTCCCGGGTCTGCACACCTGCTGTGCCCATTATGAGGGGTTCCCGGGTCTGCACACCTGCTGTGCCCATTATGAGGGGTTCCCGGGTCTGCACACCTGCTGTGCCCATTATGAGGGGTTCCCGGGTCTGCACACCTGTTGTGCCCATTATGAGGGGTTCCGGGTCTGCACACCTGTTGTGCCCATTATGAGGGGTTCCCGGGTCTGCACACCTGTTGTGCCCATTATGAGGGGTTCCCGGGTCTGCACACCCTGCTGTGCCCATTATGAGGGGTTCCCGGGTCTGCACACCTGCTGTGCCCATTATGAGGGGTTCCCGGGTCTGCACACCTGCTGTGCCCATTATGAGGGGTTCCCGGGTCTGCACACCTGCTGTTCCCATTATGAGGGGTTTCCGGGTCTGCACACCTGCTGTGTCCATTATGAGGGGTTCCCACCATCTCTGCACTGAGTTCCCGGGTCTGTACACCTGCTGTGCCCATTATGAGTTCCTGGGTTTGCACAACTGTTGTGTACATTGTGAGAGGTTCCAACCGTCCTTGCTGAAGTTTTTACTTGTATAATGGAAAATGTAACCGGAGTAGCTGTAACACACAAAGGTGGGCAGGTACAATCCATACAAGTAGGCCAGAGACATCTAGGATAGGGAGGAAAGGGATAACAGATGCTGGAGGTTCTCCAGCCTGCATTCCTCTAACTTTGAATACTTTTGACTTATGAACCATGGATCTGGAAAAGGTATTCAGATTGGAATCCTTTCAAGTCTGTACCTTTTGTTTAAAGCAAGACACAGCCAGGAATAATACAATGGTCTACAATACACACAAGGCTTACAGGAGTGGAGCCAGACAATGGCAGGAGTATCTCCACTGGAATCTCTGAGAGAGAGAAACTTATAATAGAAGAACTCATCCCTCCAGACTCCACCTATAACCTAAATATCACCTTTAGGATGGAGAGCCTTTTTAAACCTCTGATACCATTAGAGGACATTGTGAACTCACTGTGCTTGTCTCCAACTTGCAGAGGCCGGTCTAAAGGAACATGGGAAAAGGAGGAAGCAGACGCTAAAACTTGGACATGGCGGAACCCTGGATAGCACTGCCTCCGGCGTGCTGGGTGAGCATCTGCAGGGGGGATTTTGGATGAATCGGGCTGCAAAGAATTTATACAGAGTTTGTAGATAGTGGGTATAATTGTACCCACCTATAGGGGACTGGAGGGGCGCCACACTGAATATGGAATAGTCTCACGTGCCCTCCACTAGGGCTACAGACTGGAAGTGGGCTGTGTGCAGGAAAATGATTTCCTCTCTGGTTTAGGCTAGGTTCACACCTATGCAGTTTGCATTTGAGCCATTTCCACATTGCATTTTGTGTTGCGTTTTTTTTTTTTTATTATTATTTATCTTGTTGCTAGGCAGATTTAAAAAGCAAAAAAAATGCACTACATGCTTTTCTGCAGCATTTCCATTGAAGTTTATAGAACCAAAAACGCAACTTCAATAAAGTCCCTGACCCTTTCCTAAAAAACGCACTGGGTGAAAATGCGAAGGATGTGACCGTGTCCCATAGGAAATCATGTTAAGTGGACTGTACTGCATTTTGTGGAAAACACTTACAGTAGGTGTGAACCTGCGGTTAAGGACTGTGTGAAAATCTTTGGGTGGGAGCAGCCAGTGGCCAGACTTCCAGCATCACAATAGATCCAAAACAGGGATGGTTCAACTTCACTGCCACTGGACTGGCATGTAAAGGCAAAAAGAGAGCGAGAGAGAGAGAGGGATGGCAGCTTCTATGTGAGGCTTTTTACACATTCTACCTCCTTCCCTTTTGGAAGAAACCTGTCATGAGAAGAACGGAAATCCTGCCATTGCTGACCACCTTCTGAAAATGCCTGATGTCTGGATTTCATACTTTCTGAGACTGCATTCACACTACAACGTTTTCAAAACTGTGCTAAAACACATGTTGCGCATGCGCTACTATTCAGTGTTAATGGCAAAACAGATGCACGTTTTTCACGTAAAAAATGTGTGAAGCTCAAAACGGTGTCCTGAACTACTTTGCCATGGATAGGGCAGCCCATGGAAATAAAAGGGCTTCCCTATGCGTGTAGCGTGACAAAAAAAATGCGAATATGCGCGACATATGGCATTTTAACTTCATTATGGCTTTGTCATTGCCCAGGTCAGTGAACCAAGAAGCGCTGGGCTCTAAGGCCGGTCATACATGGCTCGATTTTCAAACTATTTTTCGTTCGATAATCGGACGATTTTTGCTCTGTTAGTGGAGCAATGGCACCGGCCGATTTTCGTGGTTCCTCCCCATTTCGTTTATCGGGCATGCTGGAAAATTTGTGTCAAAACGACCGATTTTCGAAATCACTGGTGGCACCATCGGATTACAGATGAACAATGTTTTCAATTGTCAATTGAAAAATCGTTCGGATTTCGACCCATGAATGGCCTGCTTTAGGGATAGATTTACTAAAACTGGGGCGCTTAGAATTTGGTGCAGCTGTGTATGGTAGCCAATGAGCATCTAGCTTCAGCACATTAAATTATGCTTTGTCAATAAAAGCTGGAAGCTGATTGGTTTCTATGCAGAGCTGCACCAGATTTTGCACTCTCCAGTTTTAGTAAATCAACCCCATGAGTGTCAGCATGCCAGCCAGGCACCTAGCATTTTCAGGAAGTCCGCTCTGGCAGTCCCTGTGTTTTTATTTATTAGACAGATTATCTTTAGGCTCTGATAGGCTGAAGAATCTGCCCATGTTTTATGTGGCTCTAGGTGTATACAGGGCATTGGTGGATTCCACTCGCCCCTCAACCTCTCCTGTTCTCTTTATGCAGTGGTTGGCATCGGAGACGGGACAAAAATGTTGGGTACCATGCTGAGTGGGAGCAAGGTAAGCCATGTATGAATATTTAATTACTGTTTCTGGTTTTTAATTCTATATGGTCATAGGAGCTGCTTTATTTGTTCATTACATATGCAGATTCTGCTTCCTGCTTAGTAATGCTACACAGTGATTGTGGCTTGCAGATCCTCCTATATCACTGTAAATATAGCAGACAAGGTCTGCCTAATCTCCAATAGATACTCTGCAGTCTCTAATCATGAGAAACACTTGCCCTGTGCTTGATAGACTGTTCTTTGCCCGGGCTTTAGGGCTCCATGTAGATGGGACACTTCTGAACGATGGAAACTGACTGCTGGAAAACGTAGGTTAAAAACATCTGTTTAGCTGCGTTTGCATACTGCGTTTATGCGCATTTATGAGTGTTTGTGTTTTAGAAGCATTTTTTAAAGATAACCTCAGGAGACCTTCCAAAATGCCCAGAATGCACTGAAAAATAGTAAAAAACGAACTATTTCAGACATTTTGAGAAGAATAGAGAGAGCAGAAGCAGAGAGAGCAGCAGTGGTTGAGATTAGCTGTGTTTTTTTTTTTTTTTTGGTGTTTGGATGTGTTCCGGCTCATTTCTGTGCAGAAATTATTGCAGCAGTGTCTAACATATTTTCTTTCATGCAAAACCTTAAAGTATGGTGTACCGGGTCCATTTGAGTTCCGGGAAAACACTTTGCATGCATTTTTCATGATGAAAAAAGACTCTGGACAGCATCTGAAAATGGAAGAGTTAAAAACAATTGCAAACGCTTATAAACGCAGTTGGCCGCGTTTACTGGCGTTTGAAACGCTGATAAAATCAACGTTTTGAATGCAAGTTTTCTGCATTCAAAAAAACAACTGTAAACTCAACTGCCTGTAAACGACTGTAAACAACTATGTGTACATAGACACATAGGAAAATATTAGGGAGAGTTCAGGGGCTGCTGAATAAAACGCTGAACAGCTCCTGAACGTCAGTTTATCAGTTGCAGTGTACATGAACCCTAAGGCAGCTCAAGTTTATTGTTCATGACAAACAAGAGGGACTTAGTATTCAAAAATAAAAATGTGATTTCGAAGTGCAGGCGTGTGATGTGTGAATTTTAATGACAGCTCCACTTGAAGTCAGAATATCAGTTTAGACAGATTACAGTTCTGGACGGAGCAATTGCTGCGTCTGAAAGGATTGAGCTCCCAGGCAGTCTTTCATCTTTTCCTGTTTTCCGTAATCCTCTCTCGTACTTTGTAAAAGCCCCTTTTGGCTGCCCACAGATGAAAGGTGGAGGTTGCCAGGGTTGTGGTCGATTCCTCAGCGCTGCGCTAATGGTGCTGGTCACAGAAAATGCATTACAGGGCAGGTGACATACAGAGGCTGCAGCGTGGTAACTGTGGGGAGGGGGGATTTGCTTGTTAAACATCTTACATGGTGAGAGCTGTGCAGGGAAATTCCTTTCCTACTTCGCTGGCTGTCTCAGAAATGTTCTGGTCGTGGAAGTGACAGTACAGATCATGCATCAAGCTTGCTGGCTGAAGAGATGAAGGTATGTGCAGACTTCAAATTACTTACTGTACTGTATATCCACTATTAAAGGATAAGTTCACCTTTTATGGAAAAAATAATAAAATCACATATTTTAATAGAAAAAAAAAATGTGTAGTCATTATTTTTTCCTGCAGGCGCCTGGAAAGCATTGCATTTGCGATCCGTAGATCACGCATGCAATGTGGGACCTTGCAGACATGTCCTCTGGCTTCCAGCCTGTACCTCTGTATGGACTTTCTGTTTGTAAAACAGGGGACATGTCCGTGCACTACGAGAGCACTCATTAGCACCCCCACAGCCCATTGATACTACAAGTCTGTCTGCCATGCTGTCTTCATCCTGGCCAGTTTATCAATAGTGTTTAGATCCCCGACGTCACCATCTTGGCTGTGGGAGTCTGCTGTGACTACTTGCTGTTGGCTTCCCACTGCACATGTGCAAGGTCGCACTGTCGGATTGGTCCTGCGGCCTCCTGGGAAATGTGACGAGTCGCAGAAGGTTGGGGTAGAGTGGGACAAACTTATAGAATTCTCACCTAGGCAAGAATTGTCGAGGGGGGTGGGTTGGTAGGACGGATTAGCGCTACTCTCAATTTTAAGTGAAGATCTGCTAGCACAGTAGAAGTATAGGCAAAACATTTTTTTTTTTTTTATTTTGGATAGGGCATATAACCCCTGTCAGAATTATTTTCACCATCTGTGTCCCATTGCGGAAATTTCCCTTCACTTCCTGTCCCATAGCCAAAAAGGAAGTGAGAGGAAATCTCTGCAAATTAAAGGGAATTCCTTGGGGACCCCCACCAGGTCACCAAAACTAGTATCCCCATTGGAAGATTTCCCCTCTGTTACTTTTCTGGGGACGATCCAAAATTTGGGATTTTTTTTTTTTTTACTTTCAATGATGATGGTAAACAGGACAAATAGAGATGGTGAATCTCCTTAACGGGGGCACGGAGAGAAAAAATGTTAAAGTGGAGTTCCACTCTTTTTTTGTATTGTCCTTCTGTTCATACTGTTCCTGTTGTGTCCTTCATGATTAGGATAATCATATATTGTTTTTAATTTTACAAATACCTGTAAATAATGTGTAAAAATGGCACTTCTGGCCCCGGCCGCCTAGGCGATGACATATTTAGGTGATTTGCAGTGTCTCCTGGGATTTGGGTCTTGTATCCCAGGAGTCCTTTGGATCTCTAGTTGCTGACTATCGTGTTAACGCAAAACTGGAAATGACGCGAATGGAGGAGTTTGGCGCCATTTTACCAGAGACCTATCTGTGGGGAGGAAGTGCAACAACTGTGCTGTGGACTTTGCTAAGCTATGTAAACTGTACATTCGCAGAGTGTGTATATTGCGCGATCTGTGAATGTAATTTGGGCACTTTGGTGCGGTAATTATCTTTTGTCTGTGCGTTGTGATTTTTGACTCTGATGTGGTCACCACACTTGCCTTCCCTGTGGTGTGTTTTGATTTACAGGTTGCCATAATGGGGCGGGGACGTCCGCCATCCCCGCCATTGTTATGGCAGCCTGTTGTATACATATATATATATAAATTTGATGTGGATGAGGGAATCACTCACGCAGATCTATCGTATGCTGCTGACGAGGAGCCCTCCCTTCCATCAGAATACAATGGTCAGTGTTGGAGTAAATATACAAATGCAGTGAGCGCTCTCAATAGTTAGCGGCTGAACACTCAAGGAAAAACACATAAAAAGTCCCAAGGAATATGTATATAGAAAATGCAGCGCTATCTGGTATTGTTATGCTATAGGCAATTACGATGATGTCAGCACATAAGTGAAGAAAATATTAAATGCAAATGAATAAATATATGGAATAAAATAAGTCACAGTCAAAAGAAAGTGCTCGCTGATTCCCAGTGCAGATGGTAGAAATGCACACTAACCAGAAGCGTATTGGTAATACGCATGTGTATAAAATATCCTGAAGATTCCCCTCTCTTTTCTGGTCTGATCATGGGCAGGAGCTGGAAAATGTAAAGATGAAGCGCTCTCGTGTGGAGAAGATGAGGTCCAGCAGGTCAGAGAAATCTTTACAGAGATGTAGTTCCCCCTTTCGGGAGCTGGTACAGGGATCACTCTGGGGCTGCAAAAGTTGAAAAGGCTTGCAACTCTCTCAGACATGACTTGTCTGTTGCCACCTATAGCCAGCTGTACTGATCATTTGGGAAAAACCCAACAGGCTGGTTGTAAACAAATCAAGCGATTTATTGAACCGGCTGAATTTCAATCCATGTATGGCCAACTTAAGAAACTGACCGGATCATATATAAAATATTGAACAGCCAGAACCAAACGTTATATTGGGTCTCACTGTCCGTATCTGGCTCTTGTTACCTGCAAATAGAAGGAGCGTCCATATTTGTGAGATCTGGTTGTGAACACGCTTGGTTGTATCTAATACAGGTGACATCGGCCACAGCCTAGGAAGAGAAACGTTTAGCCTACGCAGCCTCTTTTGTGCAGGAAATGTATGTAACTGAAATTCATTTTGGCATCAGGCCTTCCTGACTTAGACGTAAATGCTACAGAAGTTTAGCCACTGTTGTACTATTTTTTTTTTCCCCTCCTCTTCTCCTCTATTCAGGAATACAGTGTGATTGGTGAGCTGGGGAAGGAAACTGACACTCTGGACGACTCAGGGACTGTGACAGAAGAGAAACCTTATGGTATGGGCTGCACTTTTAAAGTAGATGCAAACACAGTCACTAAAATCACACAAATTATTTATAATTTTTAACATGCTATTGTAACTTTAAAAATATTTTTTTTTTTTATATTCAGCTTTCAGTAAAATAATAACTGGTGGTCTGACGTGAAGGTCAATTTTAGGCAGGTCTTGTTATAGGGTGACAACTGTCTGTCTTTGTTTGTCAATTGTGCTCTTGTATTGTTACCCTTTCACACAGACCTCCTATTTGTCACCTTTTTACATAGACCTCCCATAGAAACAGCAAGTGGCTGTTTCAACACACATTACCCAGGTCTACTGAAGTCACCAACAGGAAACCCATTCTAAGAAAATCCATGCAGACATTGCTGCAGTGCATTTAGACAGGAAGGGTCTGCAAAGAAGCTGATCTTTTTATTAGCAAAGACATGTCGCAGAATACATTTTAGCCTAAATTTATGACAAAATAAGATTTATTTTTTTACTGGACATGTTTAATAGCAATATTGTTTTTTTTTTTCTCAAAAATGTTGGTTTTTTTGCTTATAGTGCAAAAAATAAAATGCACAGACAATCAAATACCACCAAAAGAAAGCTCAATTCGTGGGGAAAAAGGACGTAAATTTCATTTGGGCGCAGCGTTGCATGACCACAAAATTGTCAGTTAAAGTAACGTAGCTCCGTAACGCAAAAAAATGACCTGGTCATGGAAGGGGGGGGGGAAATCCTCTGGAGGGCAAGTGGTTAAAAATTGTCTTATTTGCAAAACATTTTTCTTATACCATATAAAAATATTAGCATTCTGCCAAAAAAGAGACTGCTAAAGGAGGAGAGGCTGGAACATCATAATGAATAATAATGTTGCCCAGATGGTCCTAAGACTAAAACAAAAAAAATAAAAAAATAAAGTGCATTGTTCAGCCTCTGGAAATACAGAATTTATTTTTATGTACTACTCAGCAGTTTTTATTATTAAGACCTTGGCATCAATGAACTATTGGAGGCACAGAGAGTGAGAAATTCTGGCTAACAAATTGGGTTGTTTTACTAAAACTGCATGGTGCAAAATCTGGTGCAGCCAATCAGCGTCCGGGTTTTATTGTCAAAGCTGAATTGAACAAGCTGAGGTTACACGCTGATTGGCTACCATGCCAGATACCAATAGATTCTGAGTGCTCCAGTTTTAGTAAATCAAGTCCATTGTGTGGGAAAGTCGCAACAAATTATCTATTACAGAACACTGATCTCAGTTTATAAGTTCTGAGCCATCTGCCACTTGGCACACTGATGTGTTTTTTCTGTCCACGGAAATTGAAAGCAATCTTTTCAATTTCAAATCATATTTCTGTGAAATGTTGCGAATAGGAATTTTCTATTTTTGGCATACATATTGCATTCCACGGGACCATATATTGTACTTCATTGTTTAACCTGTGTGCTAGTAAAATGTAGCAATCTGCTCTATTCTGATGTTTGTTGTGCCTGCTGTGTGGCAACTGAGAACTCCAGCAATTGTTATATGAGAAGCACACATCAGTTCTGGAGATTTGTATCCTGAGTCAGCAGGGGGCGCTCCAACTCCTGCCTGCCATAGTAGGAGTGAATGTTCAGTGATGCAATTCATTACATCATTGTTTTCCATCCTCAGTCCTCAAGTACCACTAACAGGCCTTTTTTGAGAATTTCCTTTTAGATAAAATACGAGGGGCATTCAGATCAAACCGGACTTTTAATTTTACAGGTATAAAAAGGGATGCTAGCGTGCCGGTACTACATGCAGTAGTAAGTGGAAAGTGTGTCCTATTACTGATAGGTGGCACAAATGTCGTGGGCCAGTCCAGAGAACGTTAATCAAGATGGCAGACAACAGTGTTAGTGCGTGCATGGAACAGCGTGTGGAGATGAAGTTTCTTGTGAATGAAGGTGTAAAACCCGCAAATATCTACAGAAGATTTCAATCACAGTACGGTGATGAGACGCTCAGCTGCAGTAAGACATTTGAATCATGCAAATGTTTCAAAGATGGCTGTACGTCTGTCAGTGACGATCCTGGCCGTGGTGGTTTCCAGCCCACAGCAGTCACTCCTGTGAACATTCAGCCCATGGAACGCCTGATCCTGGATAATCCACGCCTAACCTGTCCTGAAATTGCACAAGAGATTAATCTTTGTGGGAACGGTGAACACAATCATGAAGCGGTGAAGCAGGCTGTCCTAGGATGGTTCAGGCGTACTAACAAATCTTTCTATGCAGACACTTTCCAGGCATTAGTTAATCAGTGAGATAGGTGTATAAATATAGCAGGGGAGTATGTAAAAAAATAAATGCAGTTTCCACTCCTTGAATTTTGTTCTTTTATTATATAAACTCAAAAGTCCCAGTTTGACTTGAACGCCTCTCGTAGCTGTCATAAATACTAAGCCAGTGACACGTATTCAAAGTGGTTTTAAATCCTAAACATTTTTTACCTTACTGCATTCCCTGCATTAAGGAAAAACATGTTTCAGTTTGTGTATCTCCCCCTCATACTTACCTGAGTCTGATCTTGATCCAGCGTAGTCCTGTCTGCAGTGGCTCCCCCCTACTGCTGTCAGTCAAATCCTATGACAAGGGAGCAGGGGGCGAAGCCAAGCCTTGCTGTCTGTGTCTGTAGACACAGGCAGTGTGGCTCAGGATCAAGCCTGCAGGTGTGCCACAATAGGAAGCTGCTTCCTATGGTGGCACACCAGGAAAAGGAGGAGCATGGAGCACCAACTAGAGTCCAGAGAAGAGGAGTATCGGGGTCGCTCTGTGCAATGCACAGAGCAGGTAAGTATAACCGGTTCGTTATTTTAAAAGGAAAAAAAAAAGACTTTTCAAACACTTTAAAGCACCTGTACAAGGTGAAGTAAATCCTGAAAATATTGAGGACTGAGGTGAGAATCTCTATGTTACATGTAATGTCACAGCGGTGGGTAACCTACACTGTGTGCACAGTTATTAGGCAAGTGAATATTTTTGACCAAATCATCATTTTTATGCATTTTGTTCAACTCCAAGCTGTATAAACTTGAATGTGTTTTAGATGTAAGGTGATGTGTATTTGTGTAATGAGGGAGGGTGTGGCCTAAGGAGATAAGCACCCTATATCAAGTTATTATGCAGCTTCTTTTCCTCAGGCAAAATGGGCCAAAAAAGAGATTAAACTGACTCTGAAAAGTCACAAATTGTACAAAGTCTTTCAGAGGGATGCAACACTTTTGAAATTGATAAGATATTGGGGTGTGATCACAGAACCATCAAACGTTTTGTTGCGGATAGTCAACAGGGTCGCAAGAAATGTGTGGGGGAAAAAAAAAGACGCAAATTAACTGCCAAAGATTTGAGAAGAATCTAACGTGAAGCTACCAAGAACCCATTATTCTCCATTGCCGTCATATTCCAGAACTGCAACCTATCTGGAGTGCCCAGAAGTACAAGGTGTTCAGTGCTCAGACATTGCCAAGGTAAGGAAGACTGAAACCCGACTACAGCTGAACAAGATACATACGTTGAAGCGTCAAGACTGGACCAAGAGATATCTGAAGACAGGTTTTTCAAAAGTTTTATGGACTGATAAGATGAGTGACTCTTGACAGACCAGATGGATGGGCTGGTGGCTAGAGCAGTAAGAGGCACAGAGCTTCACATCAACTCAGACGCCAGCAAGGTGGAGGTGGGGTACTGGTAAGGGCTGGTATTATTAAAGATGAGCTAGTTGGACCTTTTCGGGTTGAAGATGGACTCGAAATCAACTCCCAAATCTACTGCCAGTTTTTAGAATACACTTTCTTCAAGCACTGGTACAGAAAAAAGTCTGCATCTTTCAAGAAGATCATAATATTTATGCAGGACAATGCACTGTCAGAAGTATCGAAGTATTCACTGCGTGGCTAGCCAGTAAAGGCCTTATAGCTGAAAGAATAGTGACATGGCCCCCTTCCTCACCTGACCTAAACCCTATTGAGAACTTGTGGTCCCTTCTTAAACAGGAGATTTACAGTGAAGGAAACCAGTACACCTCTCTGAACAGTGTCTAGGAGGCTGTGGTTGCTGCTGCACAAAAAGTTGATTGTCAACAGATCAAAAAACTAACAGACTCCAGGAATGGAAGGCTTATGACTGTTATTGAAAAGAAGGGTGGCTATAATGGTCACAGATTTTTTAATTGCTTATTTGTACATTTTGAGTTGCTTGTTTATTTTTTTCACTTTAATAGATGAAAATAAACAAGTGAGATAGGAAAATGTTAGTTTTTTTCATTTAGTTGCATAATAATTCTGCAGACTAATAATTTCCCAATAATTGTGCACACATAGATATTCTTCTAAGAAAGCCAAAACCTCACTTTTACTTTCTTAAATATTCAGGTTTGAAGTTTATTAACCAGTTCCCGCCCAGCCTATGGCCGAATGGCAGCCGGCAAAAACCCTCGTCCCTCCGGGTGGATGCCATATGGCGTCCTTTCAGGCATGCGCAGTTTGCATGCCAGCAGAGCCGAGCAGCGGCGCGATCTGTCACCGGCCGTGTACCTCTGACTTTTTTCAACACACTGCTATTATTGTGAACACAACTGTATCTCCTAAACAGTGCAAGTTTAGGAGATATTCCCTGTACCTACAGGTAAGCCTTTTTATAGGCTTGTAGCTACAAGTAGAAAAAAAAAAAAAATTCAAATTTAATATGATTGTTTTATTAGGGCTGTTTTCATTATTTTTTTAATCTGAATCCTGCTAGAGAATCCATGTTTAGGGGCTTCCTGTAATGCAGTGACTACTGTCTGTGTTTCTGCATTGTCACCCCATCACATAGGCTTCCCATTATGACTACAAATAGCAATGCCATCACACAGTACACAGACATAGTCTGTTGTCACCATCCTGAGACATGCCATGCAGCCATCACTGGAGTGCATGTAGACAGGAGGTGGCTACAATAAAGCTACAGGAGATCAGCAGCTCTGACATGTAACAAAGAATGAAAAAAAAAGGATTTTATGGAAAATTACATTTAGTTGTTAATGATACACAGTGCATACAGTATATCAAACCAACATCATTGATATGGAATGTACATACACTGTCTGTGTAATAAAGTGAACTCAAACCTAGATGATATTTAGAGTGGACAGTTATTTGTGACAGTCCCTCGAAATTCACTGAGGAAATGTCCCGTCTGGGTGTGAATCTCCATTCTTAGAGAATTACAGCGGTGTCTTTGTTTATTGTAGTAATAGAAAGTGGCAGCTGCTGAGTCCATTTCTAACTAGTAGAGGAAAGTTGTTAGGGGCAATTTACAGAAAATGAACAATGAAGAAAGGCTGCTTTCACACTGTGGGGAAAAAAAAAAGTGGTAAAAATGCTTATGCATTTTTGTTGCGGTTTCTGTGTGTTTTCAGGCTGCCTATTACCCCGCATGCACCTGTGAAACGTGGGCATGTGACTCAAAAGCACACCAAAAACACTACCACGTGTGTTTTTTTTGATGTGTTTTCTATTCATTTCAGTAGGGAGATGTTTTTGGTATGGTTCTTTAATCACTTGCCCTCCAGAGGATTTACCCCCCTTCCTGACCAGGCCATTTTTTGCGATACGGCACTGCGTTACTTTACTTTACTGAAAATTGCGCAGTCATGCAATGCTGTACATAATTTTAATTTTATGTCTTTTTTTTTCTCACAAATAGAAGTTTCTTTCTGTAGTATTTGACCACCTCTGTGGTTTTTTTATTTTTTGAACTATAAACAAAAAGACAATTTTTTTTAAAACAAAAAACTATTTTTTTTACATTTTGCTATAAAACCTATCCAATAAAACATTTTTTTTAAAAAATCAAAAAATTTCTTCATAAATGTAGGCCAAAATGTATTCTGCTACATGTCTTTGCTAAAAAAAGATCCTAATAATTGTATATTAATTGGCTTACATGAAAGTTATAGCATCTACAAATGGTAGTGTGTATATATACTGGAATTTTTTATATATACAGCGCTGAGCGAACTATTGGCGCTTTATAAATACTGTAAATAATAATAATGTATAATATATATAATATATATATATATATATATATATATATATATATATACTAGTAATGGGAGCGATCAGCAACTTATAGCGGGACTGTGGTTGGCATTCTGACACTGGGGGGGAACTGACTAACAGCCACTGACATCCCCAGTGACACTAATACAGTGATCAGTTCTAATAAAAAGCACTGACATTGTACTAATGACACTGGGCAGGAAGGGGTTAACATCTGGAGCGATCAAAGGATTAACAGTGCGCTGTGCTGTGTTGTGTCGTGTCCATGCTGACAGGAGAGGGATCTGTGTTGTTTACACACAGGTCTCTATCCTGTCAGCTTTGCCGACGATCACCAACTGTCAACTGGAAATCACCAGCCGGGACCCGGTGATTGACATCCCCAGCCGCCAATAGCGCAGCGGGTAGGGCGGCACACGCATACGCCCCCTATATGTGATTTTGTGCAGCCATGCCATCCTGTAGCAGTACTTTTGCTATAGGGTGGCAAGCAAGCAGTTAACACGCACCAAAAATGCAGGAAGCAGGACTTTTAAAAATGCAACCAATTTTGGTGTGAAGAGTTCCATAGGATTTAAAGGGATGCATTTTTCTTCTGCTTTTTATTTAACTGAAAAACTGATCAGTGTGAAAGGGCCCAAATAGAATACAGAACAATTCAGAAATCTCCTGTCTTCCCATCCAGCTAGCCATCACTGAGAAGCCAGATGTGTTTGTAACACGCTGATGTCACACTTCTGATCCTGTTATTGGGAAAAAGTCACTGGATCTCTAAAATGTACAGAGAGAATGATGGATGAACTACACTGTGTCCTGCATATCTATCTATCTATCGATCTGTCTGCAGTGCTTTGAAAAAGTATTCATACACCTTGAAATTTTCCACATTTTGTAATTTTACAAACAAAAACATAAATGTGTTTTATTGGGATTTTATGTGATAAACCAACAATGGAAATGTTTTTTCAATTTTTTTTTACAAATATCTGAAAAGTGTAGCATGCATTTGTATTCAGCCACCTTTACTCTGATACCCCTAACTAAAATCTAGTGGAACCAATTGTCTTCAGAAGTCACCTAATAAGTAAATAAGAGTCCACCTGTGTGTAATTTAATCTCAGTATATATACAGCTGTTCTGTGAAGCCCTCAGAGGTTTGTTAGAGAACATTCGTGAACAAACAGCATCATGAAGGCCAATGAACACACCAGACAGGTCAGGGATAAAGTTGTGGCGAAGTGTAAAGCAGAGTTAGGTTATATAAAAATATACCAAGCTTTGAACATGTCACAAATTACTGTTCAATCCATCATCGGAAAATGGAAAGAGTATGGCACAACTGCAAACCTAACAAGACTTGGCCGACCACCTGAACTGACAGGCCGGGCAAGGAGAGCAATAATCAGAGAAGCAGCCAAGAGGCCCATGGTAACTTTGGAGGAGATGCAGAGATCCACAGCTCAGGTGGGAGAATCTGTCCAAAGGACAACAAGAAAGCCATAAGAAGACCCGTTTGCAGTTTCTGTTCACAGACGCTTTCCATCCAATCTGACAGAGCTTGAGCTATTTTGCAAAGAAGAATGGGCAAAAATGTCCCTCTCTAGATGTGCAAAAAACGTCCAGCTGGAATTGCAGTGACAAGTGTTTTCTACAAAGTATTGACTCCGGGGTGGGGGGGGATGGGGCTGAATACAATGCACGCCACACTTTTCACAGATTTATTTGTCAAAAATGTTGAAAACCATTTATCATTGTCTTTCCACTTCACAATTATGTGCCACTTTGTGTTGGTCTATCACATAAAACCTGAATAAAATACATTTACCTTTTTGGTTGTAACATGACAAAATGTGGAAAATTTCAAGGGGTATGAATACTTTTTCAAAGCGCTGTATCTATCTATCCCTCCCCCTTCCCCTGTATCTCTGTGCGTCCATTCCTAAATATTTAGTAATAGTTTTTTTCCCCCTCTAGATCACATCACTAGAAAGGACCTGGAGAAGGTGCTGAAGACATTTACAGGAAACATCATGCAGGTCCCTCCGCTGTATGTGTATCTCTACTGTATGAGAGAAAAAAAGGGCTGGGATTGCTGACTACTTCTGCAAATGCCAGTTGCCTGGCTGTCTTGTTAATACTCTGGCTTAAGGAGGACCTTTACTCTCAAAAGGAAGCTTTGCTTCCTGCAACCTCCCCATCCTACGCAGTACAAAAAGACAGTATTTTTTTTCCTTAGTTTTTATTTCTATACAGTCCTGCTCCCTACTGTCATTTTTGGCTAGGTGAGCTGAAGTGTCCCCGCTCCCACATCCTCTTGGGTTGTTTGAATCGCATATCCAGGAGCAGGGGGCTTTCAATGGCCTGGTGCATGTCATTGGGGACTAGCTGAAGCAACTCAAACAAGTCAGCTCTGCTCCTGGTGATGTCAGAGGCAGGGGGGAGGAATTCGGCCAGTTCAGCAGGGGCCGTGCCAATTTCAATCAATGTGTGCTCAATCTAATAATCAACTTTTGTTGAATGGCCTTGTTGGAACATTTTTATTGATCAGCAGCTGCAGTCAATAGGCTGCAGCTGCTGAACACTGTATTCTTACAGCAGAGAAGTGCCTGCTGTCAGAATTCATTAACAGAGCAGCAAGGAGGATTCCTCCATCCAACTAACTTTCAATTGCTGGCTGATCAAAAAATGTTATCAATTTTTGGCCAGGCCTAGTTAGCTGTGACCATAGATTTCCATTTAGCTATTTTTCTGCTGGTCTTTTTTTAACTGCTATTTCTTTTACTGGTAATATTCTTTTTTGTTTTATAAAAAGAAAATGTGCAAAATGGAAAAAAGGGCCTTTTATCATTTGCAAATAATTTGCCATTCTTTGTTCCAGAAATATAATTTAGGTGTCATTTTAAACAGAGGAGACTATATTTAATAAGATGTATACTCTTTGCTGTAAAAATATTTTTTGTTAAGCCAACTCTGGTGTGTGTGTATGTGTATATATGTATATATATATATATATATATATATATACATATATATATATATATATATATATATATATGGATAGAGAGAGAGAGATATTTATCGTACATAATGATAAAGTTATTGCCAAATAAACCAGCCCATAGTGTACATTTTAAAATTAGTTTGGTCCATAAGGGGCATGAAGGTGTTGGGAGCTGAATTTGTTAAGAATTCATTATATTTGCACTGTTCGGTATCCAAGGACTGGTGACAAGGTCAGAATGACTGAGTCCCTTTTGATTATAGAGTCATAGCTAGTTTGGTCTCCTCTCCATGTTCTAGTTTGTGGATAGTAGGACGCAGTGACAGAGATTTAGACCATTATTTATTCATTTATTGTTTTGTCTTTTTAAGTTTCTCAGCTCTGAAGAAGGATGGGAAGAGGCTCTCCTGCCTGGTTAGAGAAGGGGCCGAAGTGCAAGAAAAGCCTGCCAGGCAGGTCACGGTCTATGGACTGTCCATAACAGACTTCCAGCCCCCTCTGTTCACACTCGGTAAGCTTTATTATAAACTTACCTGTAAGTACAAGTGTCCAGTGGGAGTATACTTCTCCTTTTAAGTACAGTTTTTTGTGACTTTTTTGTTTGCTGTTCCATATTGACTTAATAGAGAATTTTACTTTTATTTTTAAGGTAGTACATGCCTGTTGCTGTCCAGCAAAAAAATTTGTTTACGTGTCATTGCTTTTCCCCCGTTGCACCTCCCTTATTTCTCATTCAGTAGTTTTCCTGTTCTAAAGAAAAAAAGAGAGCGGTTCTCCAAATCTGTCAGCCACTGTATACTTTTATTGATCCACCAGGTACAAGGTAGACCAGCCCGAGCTCTACATGGTCTGCCTTGTATCTAGTGGATCAATAAAAGTATACAGCTGCTGAGAGATTTGATGTGCGGCTCTTTTTCCTTTTGTTCATGTGTTGCTGAGAAGTGGAGCTGGGCCCTACGGAGGCCAGAACCCAGAAATGATGAGTGCTGCAGACACATATTGAAAGCAGTTTTTTTTCCATTGTTTTTTTATAGTGCTATTGGTATTTATCTTCAATAGATACAACTATATGTTGATCTTCAGCTTACAGTAACTATATTGTGAACGTCCTCCTTTCACATATTCATTTCTGGGCAAGGTTCTTTTCACTGGATACTCAGAATGGTGGGTACCAGTCACTTTAGGAAAAGCAGAAGTATGGGCAAAGAATTTTTTTGGCCCTACCTTTCCTATAAATCACAGGAGGGCAGTTCCTTCTGCACTCCTGTGACCTGTTTTCAGACGGTCCAGGCTCAGGAAAGATCCCAACTTTAAAGTTGGGATCCACCCAGATGCATAGACCAGGATCTTGCTCAGCCTCTTGGCGAGCCGCTAAAAGCCCTAATCAGCAGCTTCTGCCCCCTCCGCAGCCCGGCGCTCCAGTGAGTACTGGAGGGGCAGAGCAGAGAGCCGATGACTGACAGTCACTGGTTCTCTGTTCACTGAAGACTGAGAACTGAGCGAGCAGCAGTCTTTGATCACTCAGTTCTTAGTCTTAGAAACAGCAAGGAACAGCTGCAGCATTGGACCAATGCTGCATCCACCTAGGTGAGCATATTATTATTATTTTTTTTTTTTTTAAACCCAACCATTTACTTTTTATTAAGGTTTTGTAGATTTTATGCCCCGTGCACACTAGCATTTTCTTAAGCTCAAAAATTGCTGGATAAAAAAAAACGCTGGTAGTAGCTGTTTTTAGTAGCCTTTCAGAAGTGTTAGGAGCATGAGCGTTTTATAGCGTTTTTACAGTACATGTTAAAAAAAGCTGTTAGCTGCATTTAAGAGCGTTTAGCGTTTTAGACGCTGAAGCTCAAGAAATGCTAATAGCCTTAAGAAGTGTGCATGAACACATTCGAAAACACTATTTAGATTCTAAAATCAGAAAAAAAAGCTAATAACTACTAGGAGCTTAAAAAACGCTAGTGTGCATGGAGCCTTATTGAACTAGTACATGAATAACAGGAAGGAGGGTGGAGGGAAACACAGGATGCCTACAGATTCTACTTTCTGAATGTCTTCCTAACCTTCTGGGTCACTCACTGGTCTAAGCTGGCTGGACTCTTACATTTCAATTGGGGTTCTTTGACAACTGAGGTCCTAGTGGTATCTCAGTCTTAGAATTCAAGGTGGGACAGCTTGGAAAAGTTCCTGTGTTGAATTTCCCAGTATTTTCTCAGTAGGAGACAACTGCACTCTGCTTCTTCTAGGTCCACAGTAGAGCATCCAAGGCAGCCAGTATCTGCAATGGTTCTTTCAGCACCCCAGATTTCTAGGTCTTAGGAGCTTGTTCACACCATACATGCATGAAAACTAATGGGAACTGACACGCAGATTTCACTTGAAGAGACATAAGTTTACATCAGTTTTCACACACGCTTCAATGAGTTTTATACATGTTGCAGATTCCTGCGCAGAAAAAATCTGCATGTGATCCTAGTGTTTCTTATGGAAGATGGCACATAGAGAACAATTGATTTTGTTGTGCCCTTGCAGGATGCATGCAGAAAAACTGACGTCTCTGCACCATGGTGTGAACGAGCCCTAAAACCTATGATGAGACAGATTTTATAGATGCATCCTCGTAGGACAAAAACCTAGTAGGGAAGACTATGTGGTAGAAGGTGCTTCAGATATTTAATCTCTCCTCCAGCTTGCACCAGAGGGACTGCCTAAGCCTGCCGACTGGCCCGGTATTTAAATCTCTAGTACAGGGCCGTGGATAAGGGGGTACCACCGGTCATCCTGTGTGGGGCCCAGACCAGCAGGGGGTAGCTGTGTGAATCCAATGTGGGCAGAGAGAGTGATTGGCATGGCTGGGGGGGATAATTACTGGAACCAATCATCTGTATGACTCTCTCTGCAGCAGCGGAAGTCTGGCTTCTTTTCCTCTTCCTCCTGCTGGCTTTCAGCTGCTGCATTGAGCCATACAGGGGATCGGATTCAGTAAAGGCCCCTTCCCCACTGCACCCATCACCCTCCCTGTGCACCATACATTTTGCCCCTCCTACCCAGGCCCCCGTGTGCCCCCTTCCCCGCACTGCTGTTGGCTTCCCCCCCTCTCCTTCCCGCTGGCAGCTGCAAGCACACAATAGGATCCTTCAAGATGGAGAGAGGGGGAAGGGTCTGGCAAATATATCACATTTACCAGCCCCTTCCTATCCTGAATGAACACAATGAGTTATTGGTAGCGATCACTCATCGTGTTCATTCATTACTGAAGCATAGAAAACTGTGGGTTTTTTTTGGCGGGAGGGGGGGGGCTGTCAGATTGGCTGTATGGGACCCCGTGGTTTCTAACAGCAGCCCTGCTCTAGTACACCCAGCTCCATGATTAGAGAACACTAAGGCGGCTCTCTGCTCTGTGCTTAGAGAACACTAAGGCAGCCCATAGATGATTCATTTTTTTTTTTTCCTTTCAACCATTGGGTTGACCAAAAAATTTACTGGATTCCCCCAATCCATACATTCAATGTGGATGGAGAAATCCTCCCACTGTGCCTTTTGTTATTCTGACAGTGGGGGGACTTCCCCGTTGTCAGAATATTGGCGTTGCCAGCTATAGCGGGCAGCACCGACCGAACAGAGATTTTCCAATACGGCAGTTGTACAGAAGCTGATCTGTAGATTGACTTCTGTGCAATCACGCTGCCCATACATGGATTGAAGTTTTTGGCTTGTTCCTGCTGAACTGGCCAAATTTCAACCCATGTTTGGCCGGCTTAACAGATACACAGCCATGCTGTCTAAAGCAAGATCACAAAATACAAAAAGGGAACTTGGAAAAACACTACATCCTTACATCTGTAAGATAGGCTTCCATGTTCTCTTTTGCTCTGGACTAACATCTTAATGTGTAGTGTCAGCTTTTTATTGTTTATCACCCTGCTTTGAGCAGATCGCTTTGGATGTTGTTTCCCTGCAGCACTGTATGTGCAGAGGAATTGGTGCAGAACAGACCTGTCAAGAGGTACGAGGTAGCATGCTGTCTCCCGCTATTCCTCAGCACCGCTCTGCATTAACACAGTTGAAGGTGCTGCCTGCCGTCTCCCCATCACAAATCTATTTATACATAAAACATAGGTTTGTGAATGTTTCCCACTGTGGTTGGTCCTGGGTTGTCCTCCTGTGACCTTTTCCCCAGAGATGTCCAAAAAAATATCAGATGCATCAGATGTGTATAGATACATCTGACAGCGCGGGAGTCACTTAAAGAAAGAAAAAGTGTACCGCTACAAAATTCATGATGTTCAGCTACTGTATGCTGCTGGAAGATTTCAGTATCTTATCTCATTCCCCGAACTGCTCAGGTCCCGTCATATCTGTGATATCCTATATATGTCATATACCTATCGCGCTTAGCTCCAGCCTTCCCTTCAGTGTTGCACAATTGTACAAGCTCCTCTTCTGTTCCGAAATTGCTTACTCTGCACACTGAGCTTTGGAAGCTGCAGCAAGTCATATGAAGCAGGGGCGGACTGACAACTCATGGGGTCCCTGGGCAATAGGGGATCATGGGTCCCCTGTGTTCTTGCCCACACCCAAAAAAGCCTATGAAAAAGCCAATAAAAGGTACCAAGGGCATCTCATGGGGCCCCCTACTGACCCCGGGCCCTCGGGCAGTGCCCTAGTGCTCAAATGGTCAGTCCGCCTCTGATATGAAGCATGTCTCGTTTCCTGGCTGGAGGACATCCAGCAACATCTAGCTTCCTCTTCAGCCTGACTGTCCCTGATCAACCTCTTTCATTCATTGGATTTCAGTTGTTTCAATCGTGGAGGCTCAGCATCACATGTGAATATTACCTAGGGTTGTCTGGATGCAAATAGCCTTCCAGAATAATCGTAATCTTTAAGGGCAATGAGGGGTGCCTGTAGTTCCTTAGTGTATCTGAACTAAAGATCAAAATGAAATATAATATTGCAGCAGATTATGAGTCTCTAGATGTGTTGTCTGTATTAGTTTCCTTTTCATTTATTTTTAACTGGTGATCCTGCAATAACACACTTCCTGACCTAGGGTGACAACACTCATTCTCTGTATTGTGTCTAGAGAGGATCAGCGTTGTCATCCTAGGACAGGACTACCCTTCTGATCCCTCTTCTCCATAATATGGGGATGGGTTCTGTAGTCCTAGCGCACTTCCTGATAACATTAAGATGAGACTACAGAGTGAAATTTAGAGTTTATGCAGATTTCTGTTCACGTCAGTCCATGATGGTCAATACTGTATTACCCATATTTAATTACTGTTCTTTTTCCTGAACATTTTATTACACAGACAAATGAATTATTCAGTTATAACCTCTTATAGACATAAAGCAGTTCTGTTCCTATCTTGTCTCTGGTTTTGCTTGTACTATGTCTGACAATATAATATGCTTTTCTCTCCCCACAGACATAGAATGCGGAGGCGGATTCTATGTCCGCAGTCTGATCAGAGACATTGGCAAAGGTGAGTTCCCTAAAGGGTACTCCAGCCCAAAGAACTAAATACACATATAATCAGGCGATGACGCTGTTATTTGCAGCCTGCAGATTCTCATCTTCTTATATCATCTAACCATCTGCATGCACATTAGTCTGTGAATGAGTGTCACCACTCCACTGAGGATTGTGCCAATGCTCCTAAAGTCCCCTCCCCTTCCAGCCCCTAGTACTTGAAACATGTTAGACCAGGGGTCAGCAACTGGTCAGTCAGGATCTATTTGTTTATCGCAGCCATTTGAAGGGTAGCGCTCATATCGTGTCATCTGCCAGCTCCTGACACTATCTGCAGTCTCTCAGATCAGAGAACTAATCAGCATTACAGAACTGACAGAAGTCCTAGTTCTAGGCTCCTCCTTGGCCCTGATTTGTATGTGCATTTGCGTTCAGAAGTGATTTTTTTTTTTTTTCACACAATGGAGGGGAAGATGCAATTGTGCTCTTGTCAATTTTACCTTCGGTAGATGTTTGCACAGGAACAGGGGCTTTTTGTTTATGGGAGAATATGTGTGTGTGTTACTGCTGACCTCTGCACTGTGTTATGCGCTACTGACCCAGCAGTCTGCATTACTTACTACTGACTCTTGCACTCTGCATTAATTACTACTGAATCTTGCACTCTGCATTACTTACTACTGACTCTTGCACTCTACATTACGTAGTATTGACCCCTGCAGTCTGCATTACATACTGCTGAACTCTGCGTTACTCCTCACCTCTGCACTTTGGCTTACTCCTGATCCCAGAACGTTTTATGTACTCTTGATCCTTACACTCTGTTACCTACTCCTGACCTCTGCACTGTTCATTACATACCCATGAATTCTGTGTTACTGCTGACCCCTACACTCTGTGCTACGTACTACTGACCCTGAATGCAAGTGTACAATCCAAACGCACACGTTCCTGCATTAAAAATGGCTGTGTGTATAAGTGGGTGCTGCTGCAGTGATTGTTGGCTGGAACTGAACAGAATCACCAAGGAAGATGTCACCAGCACACCGAGGATCACCAACATGGGTCCAAACGTTTTAATGAATGATCACATAGTTACAGCAAGGCAACGTTTTGGAGTCTTGCAGGACCCCTTCATCAGGCATGTGACCCCATGCCTGATAAAGGGATCCTGTGAGACTCCGAAACGTTGCCTTGCTGTAACTATGTGATCGTTCATTAAAACATTTGGACCCATATTGGTGATCATGAGTGTGCCGGTGACATCCTCCCCCACATACTACTGACCCTAACACATTCCACTACTCAGAGCCAGGACCTTCACTACAGCACATCCTGCAGATCCCCCTGTTTCATCGATAGGGCTGAGGTGGTATGAACTGTGCTGGTGGCAACTTGCAGAAAGTAGCCCAATGCCGTTGTTCCAGCATTTGAGCACACAGAACTCTTTTCCCTCACTTCAGCAACACGGTATATACCACCAGCACAGGATATGCTGCAGTGAAGGTTTTGGCTATGAACAGTAGAATGTGGGCTGGAGTAGAACAGTAGAATGTGGGGTATGGGGGTGACCAGCAGCAATCCATGGAATTGCAACCACTACTGTGCTGCTCCTGCTGGTCTACCTGGTGCTTTTGAGCGCACCAGGCTGCTGCACAGCAAAGGAAGAGATGGTACCTTGTGAGCTGGTGGGGTGGCCAGATGTTGGGGGGGGGAATTTGTGTGAAGGGGTATAAATAATGAGGAGAGGACAACCAGGGGGATTAGCTGAGTGTTCAGAGTTTCCCTTCCTCCAATGGCCAAGCAAACGTTGGACTTTTTGTTTTGTATTTTGCTGCTTTGTTGTTTTTGCTTTTTGTATATTGTTGAGAATTTAGAATATGATGCCATCTTATGAAGAGACGTGAAATAATTGTTATTCATTTTGCTGCTACATTTTTCCAGTTTATAAAAGTTTGAATTCTGAGACTGTGCTGCTGAAGTGAAGCAAAAAAAGGGCGAAAAGCCGGCGGAATAGGGAAATATAGAATATCTAAATTTACGGTATCCCCTAAATAAAACTACATCAAAAAGTATATCCAATAGCATAAATAGACACTTTCACCCTAAAAGTGTAACAATCTGTGAATAATCATATGCTACCTATACCATATATATAAATCTCCAATCATATAATAAATTAAAGATTTTCCAAAATTTGAATAATAACAAAGAAAATATCCAAATATAAATCAGTGCAAAAACATAAAATTGTGTCCATTAAAAATGTACTGGATAAATAAATACACTCTGTAAAACTGCAAAGAGAGAGAAAGTGAATATATATGACTACCATATTTGCCGGCGTATAAGACGACTTTTTACCCCTTGAAAATCTTCTCTGAAGTCGGGGGTCGTCTCATACGCCGGTATACGGCATACTGACACTTTTTAGGGGGGCGGCGCGGTGCCGCCGCCCCCCCCCCTTCCAACGGAAGGGACACTAAGTACAGGGGTGGGCGGGGGCTGTCTCTTATCTGGCTCCGGTCCCACGACGATCCGGTCCAGGAAGCGCGGCTGCCCCTTCAGTTCGGCCACTGGATGTTCGGATGGCTGCTCGGCTCCGCCTCCTCACCGGTGATTGGCCGCCAGCCTCCCACTGACACCAACGATGGGGCACTATTACTCCCCCCCACTGACACCAACGATGGGGCACTATTCCCCCCCCCCCCCCACTGACACCAATGATGGGGCACTATTCCACCCCCCACTGACACCAATGATGGGACACCATTCCTCCCACTGACACCAATGATGGGGCACTATTCCTGCCACTGATACTAATGATGAGGCACTATTCCCCCACTGACACCAATGTTGGGACACTATTCCTCCCACTGACACCAATGATGGGGCACTATTCCTGCCACTGATACTAATGATGGGGCACTATTCCTCCCACTGACACCAATGATGGGGCACTATTCCTCCCACTGATACCAATGATGGGGCACTATTCCTGCCACTGACACCGATGATGGGGCACTATTCCCCCCACTGATACTAATGATGGGGCACTATTCCTGCCACTAATGCCAATGATGGGGCACTATTCCTGCCACTAATGCCAATGATGGGGCACTATTCCTCCCACTGATACCAATGATGGGGCACTATTCCTGCCACTAATGCCAATGATGGGGCACTATTCCTCCCACTGACACCGATGATGGGGCACTATTCCTCCCACTGTTTTGCATTGGAAGAGGGGTAGTCTTATATATGAGTATAGCCCAAACACTACATTTTAGCAGGAAAAGTAGGGGGTCGTCTTATACGCCCAGTCGTCTTATACGCCGGCAAATACGGTATATATTTTATATTTTCTTTTTTAGAAATTTTAAATTTTTTTTTTTGAAGGACACAATTTTATGTTTGCCTTAGTTGGACATTTTCTTTGTTATTATTCAAATTTTGGAAAATATTTAATTTATTATATGATTGGAGATTTATATATGGTGTAGGTAGCATATGATTATTCACAAATATAGAAAATGGTGGTGGGAGGGGGGTAAAAAATAAAATACACCCATTTTAGGGTACTGTGATTTATCAAGAAATGTTTATTGATGAAAGTATCTGTGATACAGCATAATATTGATTAAAGTACAAATAAGGTCTCCGTGTTGGTATTTCACATTACACATGCAACAGCTCAGCATTTTGCAGTATAAATCAATATCATGATGCATATCTTGCACATCTTCATAGTTTTTTTGCAAAAAAAAAAAAATTGTACAGTTCCCATTACAGCTTCTGAGTCTGAAAGAGTGGGAGGGTAGGATTGATCCATCACCATGCTACCAGAAATCACTGGAAACTACATCAAACTACAGTTCCCAGCATTCCTAACGCTAGCTCCTTAGAAGGGGCCCTATTTGTGGGAGTGTCCCTGGCAGCCCTGTGGGTGTTATGTGTAAATCTACTCCAGTGGAGGTAGCAGATAAGTGCTGGCCATTGCTGAAGACGAGATGAAGTATACCACCAAAAATCTATACCACATGATTGCATTATGTCACTGCATTGTGCTGTGGTCCAAGATAGGTTGGTGGACTCAAACTGTGGCAATGGGGTATTTGGGGAGGAGGCGGACGTGCTGTCGCTACTGTGCAGAGCAAGGAATTGAAAAAAAAAACCAAAAAAAAAAAACCTGCTTTGGACATAATTATAATAGGTAAATTCTGTCACTTTACAGGGCTTCTCAAATGAACAAACACCGCAATAAACATTATCTGGTGCTGCTGCTGTTTTTATAGTTTACTTAGAGAAAGTGTAAATGTAATATATCAACAAATATTTCTAAAAAAAAAATGTATTGACAAAATAGGTTTTGCTCAATTATTTTCATCTCTGACAAAAAAACTGTGTAAATGATAAAAAATAAAAGTTGTCTCCATTGTGCCCATTTATAACCAGGTCTGCTTGGTTTTCCCTATCACAGAAAGGGTTGTGGCCCCCTTGAAGTCGCTCGGGTCTGGGGGGTGTTTATTGTTCTGCATTGATTAGCTCTTGGATGAAGCAGATTTTTAGCCTCATACATGTGGTATCATGGGGTGTCACGGAGAGAGAATATTGATTTCTGCTCCTTGCGGTCCTCATGAAAGGTCTGTGAATTCTCCTGTCTTGTGTTCCCGCCTCCTGGTTGCCATTGACCCTCAGACCCAGATATTCGCCTCCTGCTGCTACTTGTTAACAGAGCCCCTCTTGGAGCGCACGCGGCAGGTGAGTCGTGTGTCATGTATGCTTTCCTCTCCAGGCTGAAACGGCCGCTTGGTCTGTTATCCGCTGGTTACAGGCCAACAGCAGATTCACCTCCAGCTCGCCTTCTGTATCCAATTCACCATCTTGTCTACCCAACCCTGCAGAGAGGACATCCATCGAAATTACGTAGCCTCTGTTGGGGCCCCTGTACCACTCCCCCCCCCCCCCCCCCCCCAAAAAAAACATAATTCCCGAGTGGTCTAGAGGGGGCAGTGGCCTTTATATTTCCTGGTGGGGGAGGGGAAAGTGGCCCCGAAAATTTCCTTGTGGGGCACTCTGTAAAAAAAAAAAAGAAAAAAATCGGCCACTTTCCTGTCTTACAGTTCCATGCAGCTGTCTCAGCACATAGTGACAGTATGCAATTACTGCAACTTGGAGTATTTTGCTGTGAGATGTGCAATAGGATGCCTGTGCCTACCACCCTATTGCAGCTGTGTTCTCATTAATATATCAATAAATATATATATCAGCATCATGCAGTCCCTGTGAGGTCAAAGCAGCACAAGAAGCAGCCAATCAGTTGAGCTACAGTGCTATGAAAAGTATTTGCCCCCTTCCTGTTTTTTTTTTTTTTTTCTTTTGCATATTTGTCGCATTTTAACCACCTGCCCTCCAGAGAATTTACCCCCCCCCCCCCCCCCCTTCCTGACCAGACCATTTTTTTTTTTGCGATACATCGCTGCATTACTTTAACTGGCAATTACGCAGTCATGCAACACCCAAATGACATTTTTTCCTTTTTTTTACCCCCACATATAGAGCTTTCTTTCAGTGGTATTTGATCGCCTGTGCTTTTTTTGTTTTGCTTTTTGCACTATAAACAAAAGACCGAATATTTTAAGAAAAAAAAATTTTTGACTTTTTGCTATTAAACATGTCCAGTAAAAAAATAAACAATACATTTAAGCCAAAATGTATTCTGCTCTATGTTTTTGCTTAAAAGATTCCAATATGTTTTTTAATTAATTGGGTTACGTGAAAGTTATAAATATACTGGAATTTTTATTTATTTATTTATTTATTTTTTAATAGTAATGGCGGCAATCATTAACTTATAGCGGGATTGCGGTGGGCATTCTGACACTGGGGCGGGGGGAACTAACTAACTGTCACTGACATCCCCAGTGATACCAATACAGTAACTAGTGCTATTAAAAAGCACTGACACTGTACTAATGACACTGAGCAGGAAGGGGTTAACATCTGGGGTGATCAAAGGGTTAATTGTGTGCTGTGCTTTACTGTGTAAGCACACTGCTTTGTATGGCTGTGCTATGCATAGCCATACAAAGCAGTGTGCAGGAACTGACGGGAGAGATCTGTATTGTTTACGCACAGACCTCTCCCCCTGTCAGTGATACTTGGCGGTCGGCCGGGACCCGGTGATTGACAGCTGAAGCCGCTTGTGCGCATCACAGCTCTAGTCTGCCCCCTACCCGGAAATACAAGATCATGAGTGTGTGTGTGTGTATATATACATATATAAAATATGATTTTGCACCCTGTAGATGTAGTTCTACTATAAGAGCGGTCAGGAAGAGGTTAAATGATTCAGATCATCAAACAGATTTTAAGATTACACAAAGATAACCCAAGTAAATGCAATTTATAAATGATGATTTAATTTATTAAGGGAAAAAATGCTGGCCAAACCTGCCTGGCCCAATGTGAAAAAGTAATTACCCCCTAAACTCCCTGCTGCATAACCCAAGTGCACTTGAGTTTGAGGTGATGAACTGATGGCCGGACATTATCCTTCAGGATTTTCTGGTGGAGTGCAGAATTTATGGTTCTATCAAATCTGGCAAGTCATCCAGGTCCTTTTTCACATAGGGCCAGGCAGGTTTGGACAGTTTTTTTTTTTTCCTCAATAAATGAAACTAAAAAACTGCATTTTGTATTCACTGGGGTTATTTTTATGTGTAATTTTAAAAAAATTAGTCTGATCTGAAATCAGGAATGGGGCAAATGCATTTTCACAACACTGTATGTGCTGACAAGGGACATGCTAATAGAGGAGGGAGCAGTGTGACAAAGATGAGCTCATCAGTCTTCTGTTTATCCGTTTACTGTCCAATCATGGACTGGGGGAGGGACAAGACCCGGAAATGTTATTTAACTACAGCAGAGAAAGATGAGGTCCCCTCCTCTGCTGTGCTGTATTACAGAATGGATCAGAATGCTGACCCTAAAGCTCTTCACATATACGCAGAGGCAGATCCATATCCATATCCATTTTTTCTGCCTTCATAGGTTCCCATAAAGTATGACTAAAGCCTATACTTTATCTATTTCTATGGAGTAGAGAATGGTTAAAGCCTCTGTTCCAGTTTTTTTTTTTTTTTTGTTCATGTCCCATCGGAATGATTTCACTTTACTTTCTGTCCCAAAGACATAACAACAAGTCACTGGAACAAAGCCGGCCATAGACAGTTTGAATCTTGGCCAGTTCAGCAGGAACCACCCGAGATTCGAACCATGTATGGGCAGGCTGAATGTACCCGAGTTCATCGATCGATAAATTTTGGTACAATCAGCCTGCCGGATTTTACATGCCATCTTTGCTAGCGGCTGTTAAAGCCGCTAGCAAAAATCACTGTGTTCTCCTGGTTGGGGGTAGGAGCGATTCCCCTGTCAACACTGTGATTGCAGGAAATAAATTTGCTTCGCCTATGATCTGCCTAAAGCTGGCCATACATGGGTCAAATTCCGAAAGATTTTTCATTCAAAAATCTCTTCTAAGAATTTTTGTTTGAATTTCGCACCATTAGTGGGTCACAGAAACGGCCGATTTTAATGTGACCATCGAATTTGAGTGATTGGCATGTTGGAAATTTTTTGAAAAGGGAACTAATTTTGAATCAATGATGGGAGAATCGTGCAGGAAATATAAACAAAAAAGAAATGAGCATGAGCTGTGACCTGGAAAGAAAAGAAAATTCTTGGCCACGAAAATTCTTTTCTGTAGCAACATGAGGTGAAATTGAAGGCTTGGTTGGTTGAATTTCAAAATCAAAGGTGGCACCGCCAGATTACAAAATGCATGAAATTTCTGATTTTCTCAAGAAAATTCATTCGGAATTTGACATGTATGGCCTGCTTAAGGGTCCCTGCTGGAAGATTCCCCTCTGTCTTCATCTTTTGGTGACAACTCTTGCATTCTAAGCTTTTCATCATTTTCTGTCCAACACAATAAAGTGGGAGAATCTCCCCTTAGGTGACACAGTAATGAAAACCCAGAAGTTCTAACCCTAAAAAACTAATAAAAAATAGTTTGTCTTTGGGTGCACTTTAAGGCTTGTAGGGGTCTGTCTACGATAAATCAGGGAAGTTTTTTTTTTTTTTTTACTCTAATCTGGAGCACAAAATAGTCTAACCCCAGCCTGGCAGGCTAAGACTTGTAGTTCCCAAAGGCTGCAGCCACAGTATATTCTGGAGGTAATTCACTATAAAGTATATATAAACTTTGTAAAACAACCCAGTCAGTTTAAAATAGAAATGAAAGGCAAAACATTTGTGTATAAAAAACATCATAAATACCTTTTTCTTTTTCTTTTTTTTTTGTTTTTTTTTTTTTTTTTGCTTGGGAGCTTGGGAAGAGAAACAGCAGCACACTAGTCTTCCCAGTGAATGGCTGTGTGGGGGGACGGGGACGGGACATGTAAGCAGACATCTCTGCATTTGAGGAGAGCAAACTGAGTTCTCAACACAGCCAGAAAACTGACCTTGCTGGGCTCTCATGCCCTAGTGTGGTCAGCTTTTAATAGCAAAGCAGATGGGCTGACAGGAACACCAGGGATTTTCACACAAAGGAAGAAATACAAAGAGAACAGGATAATGTTTCATACAAGTACATGGTACAGCAGGCACATATCAGGAAAATGAAATGTAAGGTTTACATATTCTTTAAGCTCAGTGTAACGGACAAGGGGGTACTCTTGAAGAACGAAGTTTAACGTCTGCATATGGAAAGGCTTCTTCACAGTAAGAGCTGTGAAAATAGGGAATAGACTTGCCAGAAACTAGTTCTAGTTCAACCATCTCAGTTTTTTTTCTAATTTAAACTGGATGCATTCCTAAGTGCATAGAATTAAATTTGGATATTACATGTATATGTAATAACATCGGAGGTTGTTGATCCAGGAAATGTCTTGCTGCCCTAGAGGAAGGAATATTTTCCCTGTTGGAACAAATTGGACTATGCTTTATAAGGGTTTTTTTTGTTTTTTTTTTTGCTTTTCTTTGGATGCACCATGCGTATAGGGTTCTGTATAAGCAGGTTTTCAGTTTATTTTTTTTTTTTTTTTTTTTTTTATTGGTTGAACTCAATGGATTTCTTGTCTTTTTCCAGCATAACTCTGATTCTAAATAGAATTTTTCTTCCAACCTCACCCACCCTCTACTTCTCTGGGCATAAACGGATAAACCTTCCCCCACCCATGAAAGTCTATAATCCCGCATTAGAGAAGCCCCGTGTCTGCCAGTTCAGACCCTCCCGGCTCGCCGGATGATTTTCAGCTGATGAGAGTTAAATCCTCAGCGGTTGATAATTTCACAGCATCAGTGTTTGTGGTTTTCATGTCATCTTTTTTTCTTTCCCCTGCCAGCCCTGTCAAGTTGTGCCTACGTGAAGGAACTGATCCGCACCAAGCAGGGCCCCTTCACATTGGAGGAGCACGCGCTGAGAGAGGACAGCTGGAGCATCGAACAGGTCGCCCAGTCCTTACAGGAACATTCCCATCTCCTGACCGCAGAGCCAGCGGCCAAACGGCTTAAAACAGAGGAGCGGGAGCCTGCCAGGGAGTGAGGCTGGATGGCCGGTTTATAAACTGTCCACATGTGAATTGCACTTCCAGGAAGATAGAAAAAAAGCCCTTCGGAAGAGATTTCAATCTGGCAGATTCATGAGCCTCGGCTTCCTGGGAATCAGTTTGCTGAATCATCAGCACTGATAACATTGATGCTTCAGGAATCGGGACAGCAGGGCAGTGTAGGAAACATTCATAATGAATAAAAATACATTTCCCCTACATGATACATGGATACCCCTGAATAGAGAACAATGAATGGGGCCAGTCACTCCCGGTATGCCACCAGTATATCATTGGCACCAAACCGTAACCTATAGTACTGTTTTAGTGCTTGCTTCTTACATAGCAGATGCTATTTTTCATATGTTATTGCCTTTGACTATGGATGGTCATGGGCTTCCTTTTTACCCAAAAATCTAAATAAATGTTATGGAAAAAAAAATACATTTTATCCCAGTGGTGCTTAAAGTGTATCTGTAGCCTTTTCTTTTTTTCTGGGGAAGGGGGGGTCTAGATCTGTCAGTATTTGTTTTTTGGCTGCCTCTGTCCCCAACTGGTAGATTTCCCTTTACTTCCTGTCCAAGAGACACAACAGGAAGTAAATCTCTCCTAAGAATGAGTAGTCCTCTCTTGTAGCTCGTTCACACATGAGGTTACGGGGTGGTAAATCCCCACATTTGAGCCATGCTTTTATTGCTACCCCCTTAAGCTGCAGAGGCAGCAGCTGGGTATTTATACGTGCTGCAGACGCAATGCTTTGCAGCCGCAGCCAGAATTGTACGCCCTGTCACAAGTGAATGGGGCTGCTGTGCAACTGCAGGGATCAAGGGGTTAAAGCAGGCGGTGAAGAGGCAATACAACACCTCCTAACTGCCTGTTCAGTGCTCTTCAAAGAACACTGCTAGTGTAAATGAGTCCTTAGCTGTCACTGGTACAGGTATCCCCATTGGAAGATTTCCTTTCTATTCCTGTTCTAGTGACAATTGTAACATGTTGGTTGGTTTTTCCCCCCTTTCTGTCTCCATGACATTGGCCCTCAGGGCAAACAGAGGGCAAATCTCGCCCACAGGAACACGGACAGAAAACTGAAAGAAGGTCTGTTGTAGTATAATGGACTCTCTGCACCATCAACCATGCTTTGCTTCGCTTTAAGCTGACCTCCAGCCTTCCCTTCAGTCCTGCACAGTTGTACCGGCTCCTCTCCGGTACTGAAATTGCTTACTCTGATTTCATTGCACACTGTGAGCTTCTCACAATGTGCATTAGAATCTGCAGCAAACTGGATACATCATGCCTTATTTCCTGTCTGGGTGACGCCCAGCATCATCTACTCTTTTCCTCCTCAGCCTGTCTGCCCCTGCCCTAGAGACCCATTGATGACATCACTGGGTCTAAAATAAAGTATGCAATAAAAATAGAAAAGTTTTATTCATAACTGTCATTAGCATGTTGATAATGGGGGAGACACCGACACCAGAGAGTACAAAGTACAAGCCGATTAAACTTCAACATAAGCACTCAGTAATGCATAGAATTATACTGGAAGACAAAGAGAATTCTGGCATTGCACGTCATGACACTGTGCTGGATGTCTGAAACACTGCGTGGTGTGCTTAGTGCACGTATTGCTGATGAGTAATCTGCTTTTCCTTTATGGAAAACACTTAATAAAAGGGATTACTTGACTAAAATTGTCTTCTTTAAAGCAGAACTAAAGTATTGATTTTAATGCAAACACTCTAAAATTGCAAGTTAAAAATAATAAATGCAAAACTGTGTCTAGTGGTTTTCTAAATTGGTTTCTCAGCTGCTGTGCAAAAATGTAAAATTTTAAAGTGTTTGAATTTAAAAAAAAAAAAAAAAAAAGCCACAAACAATATAAATCCAGTTTGTGTGCCTTTGCAAACCCAGATATCACCTTGAAACATCATCACTGTGCTGAACATATCCTGTGCAGAGAGCAGAGTTGTGGGAGGGGCCCAGCAATTCTTCCCATACAGGCTGCCTGCAGAAAACTACAGGAGGGGGCGGAGACAAGACCGGTCACCCCGTACAAGAAAAGAGAGCAGCAGTGAGCGGTCTTTATTACAGAAAGCAAATTACCACACTGGATTACTGCACAGATTTTGCAGAAATACACAAAGCACAGCAGGATTCAAGGAAGAATACACATGATGAATGTAATTTGGACAATATTTACTTATCTCGGAGTTCAGATTTCATGTATTAGAAGACCTGGAGGTAAAATGTTCAGTGGTAGATGGTATGGGGGATCCATTATAGTATTATAGATAACCTTTTCATTAAAGTATAAACTAAGGAAAAACTTTTTTTTTCCCATTTTGGATAGAGTCAGGCTGGCCATACACTATACAATTTTCTGTCCAATTTCTGCCCAATTTCTGTTAGATTTACCTTCAACTATGTAGTGCAAGAGCCTGCCTAATTGGATACAATTGAAATTGTTGTTAGGTTTGACCTCCTATTAAATCTAAACCAAAAATCTCAAGAAAATTGATATAGCGTATGTGCCAGCCTAAAGGAGGGTTAAAATCTCAAGAAAATTTCTCCTCTATAGGTGTTTTGATGTTTGAAGTCACTGTTTGTACAACAATATATTTACTTGTATATAAGGTGTAGCAGCTGTGCATTATTTTTGTGTCTTTCTTTTTGTTGACTATTGTAAATGATATTGAACTACCTTCAAAGCTGCAAACTGAGCTGTTTATACTTTGTGTGGAATAAAAGAGCAACTTTGTTTTGTTGATTTTTACAATGTGCAAAAAAAAAAAAAAATGATTATTTTGTTAGAGATTGTGACTTCAAATACAATTGCAATCATAATTTGGAGGAAATCACAAAAAAACACAAATACATTTAAAATCATTTTTTTAAATAATACATAATTTGTTTTTATGTGACCAGGATAAGAAAACAGCACTCATCTCTTGGGTAGGTCTGTGAACTGAAACTCGTGTACTGTTAGGGGTCCCTGAGGACGGAATATGGCAGGAGTCCCAAACTATCTTAATACTCCAAAGACATGCTGGTAGGTAAATTAGACCCTGTCTAAATTGGCCCTAGTATGTGTATGTATGAATGTGAGTTAGGGACCTTAGATTGTACACCCCTTGAGGGTTAGGGACTGATGTGAATGTACAATGTATATGTAAAGCGCTGCGTAAACTGACGGCGCTATATAAGTACTTGTAACAAATAAAATAATAATAAAGGGCCAGTTTACTGCCCTTCAGACTTTAGGGGGGGCCGGACTGTGGAGTAATAAAATTTCATAGTGGCTGTGGTCAGTAGGATTGCTCCTTTATTGGTATTAGTGGGAGGAATAGTACCCCATTGTTGGGATATAGTGCCCCATCATTGATTTAGTGGGAGGAATAGTGCCCCGTCATTAATTTAGTGGGAGGAATAGTGCCCCCAATAATTTAGTGGGAGGAATAGTGCCCCCTCATTAATTTAGTATAATAATAATAATAGTGGGAGGAATAGTGCCCTGTCATTGATTTATTTGTAAGAATGGTGCCCCATCGCTGATTTAGTGGGAGGAATAGTGCCCCGTCATTGATTTATTTGGAGGAATGGTGCCCCATTGCTGATTTAGTGGGAGGAATAGTGTCCTGTCATTGATTTATTCGGAGGAACTGTGCCCCATTGCTGATTTAGTGGGAGAAATAGTGCCCCATCATTGGGAGAAATAGTGCCCCATCATTGATTTAGTGGGAGAAATAGTGCCCCATTGTTGATGTTAGTGGAAGGATTAGTGCCCCATCATTGATTTAGTGGGAGGAATAGTGCCCCATCGCTGATTTAGTGGGAGAAATAGTGCCCCATTGTTGATGTTAGTGGAAGGATTAGTGCCCCATCATTGATTTAGTGGGAGGAATAGTGCCCCATCGCTGATTTTGTGGGAGAAAACAGAACCCCATCATTAATTTAATGGGAGAAATAGTGCCCCATCATTGATTTAGTGGGAGGAATAGTACCCCATAATTCATTTATACAGAAGAATGGTGCCCCTTCGCTGATTTAGTGGGAGGAATAGTGCCCCATCATTGATTTATACAGAGGAATGGTGCCCCATCATTAATTTAGTGGGGGAAATAGTGCCCCATCATTGATTTACACAGAGGAATGGTGCCCCATCATTAATTTAGTGGGAGGAATAGTGCCCCATCATTGATTTAGTGGGAGGAATAGTGCCCCATCATTGGTTTATACAGAGGAATGGTGCCCCATCGCTGACTTAGTGGGAGGAATAGTGCCCCATCATTGGTTTAGTGGGAGGAACGGTGCCCCATCGCTGACTTAGTGGGAGGAATAGTGCCCCATCATTGGTTTATACGGAGAAATGGTGCCCCATCGCTGATTTAGTGGGAGGAATCGTGCCCCATCATTGATTTATTTGAAGGAACGGTGCCCCATTGTTGATGTTAGTGGGAGGATTAGTGCCCCATCATTGATTTACTAGGAGGAATTGTGCCCCATTGTTGATTTAGTGGGAGGAATCGGGGTTGATTTATTAAAGGCCAATAGACACTTCACTTTGCAAAGGGAGTTGCATTTTGCAAGGGAAGTTTCTGTTGACTTCCATCATCCAATCATGTGCAAGCATGTGATTGGTTATTTTTTGCAAAGTGAAATTTTTTTATTTATCTAGCTCTGGGGCACATTCTCATGCAAAATTAAACTGTTTTTTGCAAAGTGAACAGCCAGTTTTTCTTTAGTAAATCAAGCCCATAGAGTTCCATCATTGCTTTAGTAGGAGGAATAGCACCCCATCATTGATTTAGTGGAAGGAATAGTGCCCCATGCCCCATCATTGGAACTAGTGGGAGGAGTAGTGCCCCATCATTGGTGTAAATATGAGGAATTTTGCCTCATTGTTGGTGTCATTGGGAAGAATAATGACCCACTGTTGGTGTCAGCAAAAAAAGAATGGCGCATCGTTTGTGGTGTCAGTGGGAGGAATAGTGCTCCA